CCACCTAATGAAGTGATACTCCTCTTTCTAGCTTACTGGGTGGTGGTATCCAATTTCCGTGGTCACAGATGACAACAAGGTTGACCTTTCAGTTGTGGGAAGGATGATCATGCCTTTGGCAGATGGAGATCTGGATGTTGACTTTGAATATGCTGAGTAAGTGCATTCAAACTGCTTCTAAAAATTTATGAGTGGCGGGGATATCAATAAAGATCTTTAGCCATACAACTTTGGGAACCGTATCCCACAAGTTTGCATGTGGAATGGGGAAGGGACAGTGGGCAGGGAAAAATCTCAACTGTGTAATGGCAAATCAATGGAGGACTCCTGAGTAAAATGGGTAGATTGGAAAGTCTGCTCTGAAGGTAGGAAAATCATCCATTTAATTTCAAAACAGAGTATGCCTAAACTGTAGGGCTGGGCAACCACGGAAAAATTTGTTTCTAAACTTGATTCGTTTTTAGGGGGTTTTTGCGTTTCGATTTTTAAAAGAATTCCGAAATTTTTCTTTAAAAAAGTTCGAAATTTACGAAATTTTGGAAATTACGAAACAATTACGAAACAATTACAAAGAATCGATTCGTTAATGGCGGACGCGATCGCGCAATACGCTAAAAAACCCTCCAAATGGGACAGGGGGAACTTCTGAAGCTTCCCTCTCCCTCTGTTGTTGACTGTTGGTGCGATAATTATATTTTTTTTTTCACTGAGAAAACAAACAGCAACCCTAAAACTTGCACCAGACATGCGGAAATAATAACGAAACGATTTCGAAACGATTTCGAAACGATTTCGAAACAATTACGAAACAATTACGAAACGAATTGAAAAATTCGTTTCGATTTTTAGTTGCTCCTGAATGGTTCAATATCGCTTCGTTATAAAAAAAAACGAATTAATAACGAATTACAAAATTAACGAACGAAATCGCCCAGCCCTACTAAACTGGTTGGTAAGCCTTCTCTCCTAAACATGTGACCTGTTCAGTGGGATGAAGTTTTTAGTTTCAGAGGAAAACTATGATGCCCCCTCCTGCAAATCAAACCAATATGACCCAGAAAACCTTGGGATAAGTTGCCTTATGATTGTTGTAGTCAGAAAGAACTTAAAGATACACACAAAAAAACATGATATGCCTCCTTTTTGTAGGTCCTGGGTAACATTTTCCAGTTCTGGACTGAAGAAAGATCACCAGCTGGGATACGAAGATGTATTGATGATTTTAAAAACCTGATAATTCATTTCTTTGCAGGGACGGAAAGTGCTTTATAAACCTTAATAGATTTTGGCATTCTACGTTGCTGGGTAAATTCATATCAGATAGTAAGTATGAGAAATCCCACTCTCTTTAAAGGTGAGCCTCATATGATGGATCTCCTCCACCCTGAAACCATAAATACTGTCTATTCCTACTAATGTCACAATCTGTTGCACTCCAGGACAGGAAGAGCCCTCTGCTTCTATAACACCACACCGTTGAATAGGTAAAATCAATCCTTTTATTGAAGATAATTAAAAAGCAGCAAAATAGAAAGCACTTTAAAGAAATAGGTAAATCCAATTAGGTAAGAAGATAAGCAAGAACAAAATAGTCCAGGGTAAAGTTCAGCAAAGTCCATGAAAACAAAATCCACACTTCTCTAATAAAATCCAGAGAACCAGGAAACATTCATCCAAGGCATGAGTATGCAATCATAAAATACAAGAACCAAAATCATGAAACAAGAAATACTTAAGCATGAATCTCCCAAGCAAGGCTTCAATGAAACAAGGACAAGAACTTAGTGTGATTCCAAACGATGCTTCATCTGGCTACATTTCCCATACTTGGAACTTTTATCCTCTCGTTAAGCTATCTTTTTCTGTTGGAGCCTGGCAGAATGCTGAAGGCACTGTTTGGCTTGTCTGATTTGACTGATCTTTTCCCATCTATCTATTTGCTCATTAATTTCTGCAGGTTCCAATTTGTTTTCAAGTCCCAAATCCTGAGAACTCTCTGGTAACAATTCAGGGAGTATACCATCATCCCCACACCCTTCAGGGACATTCTCATGGGAAACTACACTTTGAACAGGGATCTCCTGGTCATTCTCTGCATCAATATCATTGACCAAACCATTGCCATCTTGAAACTCCTTGACATCACTCCCCACATCCAAAGCACCTTGATCCTGAAACACAATCACAGGCTGAGCTCCAACACAATCTAAGAAGGTGTTACACTCTAGCTTTGAGACACCTTTTCACCCAGTGCCACACCAGAGTCCAGTAGACTCTGTAGGTAGACACTCAGTAGACTTTTCTAGATAGTAAACTTTTGTACAAAAGTTTATTAAGAAAAGCATGTACAAAGGGAAAAAGGGCATTTCCCAAAAGTGCAGTAGAGTAGGAAATACAAAATAGCAGCAATCCAAAAATATCAAAGCACATGAAGTCAGTAGAGCCAAAATCTCTACTATTACCAAGGCAACTATATAACTATTTCCAAGGCAAACCTTTCAAAGAACATAGGGAAAAACAGGAAACTGGAATCATAAACTGGAATCATGAACTTGAGAGCCGAGACAGGAAAGCCATCCTTATGGCAATGTTGTCTCTTCTGAGAGACAAAGAGTAAACACTACTTAATTTAAGTTCAACCAAGAAGCCATGAGATCATGCCAAACACACCTGAGCTTCAAGGACTTCTCATGGATCCTCTCAGAACACCTAATTAGTTTATCTTTCACTCCCTTCGTTCTCAAACCTAATCTGTCTTCTTGGGAAAACTCACCATCAGCTGAAGGCTGTTTTACAAGGAACTGACATCTTCTCTTTCTTTTGCCTGGGAACAACAGGAATCCCAGACAATGGCTTCCTTAGCCTGCCATTCTCTCTGTTCACTAGCAGACTCTTCACTTTGAAACCCATCAATTCCCTCATCCTCTGAAACATCTGAAAATCCCCAGCCTCTTCCTGAGGCACAACAGCAGGATCAGCCCTGAATGGCTTTTGTGCGGGAAAGCACCGGGAGGGGAGAATACGGGTCTCCAGGTAGGGCAAGGGAAGAACTCTGCCAGAAATCCAGCTGGGAGCACATCTGCCAGTCATAGCTGGGAATACAGGGTGAGATAGGGGATCCCTGAGAGGGGTGGACTCAGTCGCGGTCCTGTGCCCGAGGTCCCAAGAGCAGTCTGTTAAAAGAGGCAGGGATGAGGTGGGTTTTGTCCTTTGCATTTTCCCCAAATTCATTTGGGTTCACTATTATGTCGGGGTGATTTGAATGCAATTTTCCTGCTTCCTGGCAGGGGGTTGGATTGGATGACCCATGAGGTCTCTTCCAACTCTATGATTCTATGAATGCTGACTTGCTTGCTTGTTTTCTGGATACTGAATTGTCTGTTGTGATTCTCTTTGCATTGTAGAAGGCTACATTGTTCACATCGTGGATACAGACTATGACGAATACAACATTTTCCACATGGAAAACAAGGGGAAGAAGATCCTCTATCTGGATTGTAAGTTTTTACAACATGCTGTTGGGATGTGCAGAGTGAATGTGGCGATTCTGGGGAATACATGATTTTGGTTGGGTTTCCAAAAACCAGCAACACCGACCTCGCAAATCCTCTTCTCCAAGCACTTAAAACAATCCCATCTGATCTATGGGTCTGGCAAGGTTTCCCACACTAGTGATGAGAAAAAATTGTAGTCTTTTACTGGGGATTTTGGCCATTACCCCATAACTCCATACATAATAATAATATATTTTATATTCCGCCCTCTCTCCTAGGGGACTCAGGGCAGATTACAGCATGTACATACACAGGCAAACATTTAATGCCCTTACAATCACATACAATGAGACACACAAACACAGACAAAGGCAAAGGCTTCTCCCTTCATTTCTGGCTTCTGGAGGCGATACTCATCTCTGGCTCTGGGGAGGTGCTTTTCTCCATTTTCAAGTCGAGGAGCCATCTGGTCATGTGGCTGGCAAGATTGCTTGGAGCATCTCTTTGCATTTTCCCGCCAAAGCAGTACCGTATTTTCCGGCATATAAGACAACTGGGTGTATAAGACGACCCCCAATGTTTCCAGTTAAAATATAGAGTTCGGGATATACTCTATATATATGGGAAGAGGGGTATAAGACTACCCCTCTTCCAACGCACACCAAATAAAAATTTTAAAAGCATCAGATTTGATTTCAATATGGTAATTTTCTCCACAAAAAGGACAGGCAACTGGCTTCGTGAACTGTTTCTTTTCTTTAAGAGGAAAACCCTTTTTAACCCCTCCTTGGGCGATCTACTTTCTAAACTTTGCTGTTGTGGGCTCTACTCCCGGCTCCAAATGCTTCTTGGGTCCCGAGTAGACCTACCAGTCAAGGCTTTGTAGATTCTCCAGCTGGAGTCCTTTGGAATTTCCCCCGGATGCTGTGAGAAACGAAGCTTCTCTACAGGTGGAGCTAATCCACGACCTGTAGCTAAGCTTTCCAATGCAGGACTGACCTAAAATGGCTCCCTCCCCTCCCAGAGCCCTGGGGAAAGGGGTGGAACCAAAATTTAACAATGATTGATGGGTCACTGGCCCTATAATTGCAAACCAAGGGAAGCCACCTTATTGCAAAATGCATGGAACCTTGGAATGCATGCAAACATTCAATAGAAAGAAATGAAGTTGGAGCTTCTGGTACAGCCATACCAGCACAATAGCTTTGAAGAACACTTGCTAAGAAAATCCTGTGGAATTGCCTTAGAGTTGTCCTAAATTAGAAACCACTTGAAGTCACAAGGATGCAGAACAGTAGCTTCAAAATACAGAAAAGGAGATTCCACCTGAACATTAGGAAGAACTTCCTGACTGTGAGAGGTGTTCAGCAGTGGAACTCTCTGCCATGAAATGTGGCGGAGGCTCCTTCTTTGGAGGCTTTTAAGCAGAGACTGGATGGTCATCTGTTAAGGGTGCTTTGAATGTGATTTTCCTGCTTCTTGGCGGAATGGGATTAGACTGGATAGCCCATGAGGTCTCTTCCAACTCTAGGATTCTATGATTCTATAAGTGGAATAGTAACAACAACATCAACAATGATGATTGTGATGATTGTGAAAAGAATGTCACTGGGACTTCATGATTTGCTCAAGTCCTCATGGGATTCCTGGCCATTTTCCTGCCCTGACATTTTGGAAAAAATGATGCCATAACCTTTTGGGAAATGGAATTCTCCATAACCTTTTGAAAAATCTCCCTGAGAAGAGTTACAAAATCATTCGAGTTAATCTCCTTCCTAGTGGTAAATAAATATCCACCAGCATTCTTGCAAGGCAATTAGGTTTCTCAGCTGTTAAACTGATATACATAGGTATCTCTTTGAACTGCTAGGGACAAAGATATGCCAATGCACAAAAACATACATGGATATAGCAGAGTTTAAGAAGTGTTATTTCAGTTGCCCCAAAACATCTATTCTCCCTTGAAACCTCTTGCTTTTAAATTGTGCTCTCCAGAAAAAAGTGAATTTCTTTAAAAGTAACATACGAGGGTTGAATGAAAAGTAATGCCTCCACCTTTGTAACTCCTCAACATATGGCAGTACTGGTATGAGGCTGGAACTGGCTTGTTCAGTAGACTCTCCTGTACAGTTCCTTTTTGGCAGGAAGTCTTAGCATTGAATGTTTGTGTTGTTAAAGTGCAAAGTATGGAACCCTGTGCAGACGATTGGTCAATGTGACTTAAGCAACGTGCAGTCATTGAATTCTTGACAGCAGAAGGTGTCACCACAAAGAAGATTCATCAGAGAATGCAAGCTGTTTATAGTGATTGTGTTGATGTGAGTACTGTGTATCGTTGGGCGAAGAAGAAGAAGAAGAAGAAGAAGAAGAAGAAGAAGAGGAGGAAGAAGAAGAAGTTTATTTTTCTACCCCGCCTCCATCTTCCTGAAGGAACTTGGGCCGGCTTACATGGGGCCCAAGCTCAGACAGAATACAATTAAAATAAAGCAATAACAATTAAAACAGCATAAAACAGCATAAAACAACATAACAAAAATAGGTAGCAACAACAATAACAGCAGTCTAATTTTGGAGGAGGGGAGGAAAACTGCTACATGAACGAGTTAAAGGATAAAGTGGTCTAGTAAGGTAGATGACAATGTATAACGTCATAGAAAAAATCATGGAAACAGAGCAAATTAATCAGTTAATATAATATAGGACATCAGATTGAATGACAATTCAAGTCAAGTCAAAGGAGTCATCAATCGAAAGCACGACGAAATATCCACATCTTTAATTGGGCAAGAACATTTAAAGATGCTGAGGTGGGAACATCTGACTTGCATGACAAACAAAGAGTTGGACGTTCTGTGACAGCAACCACCAAGTTTCACAAGCAAAAGGCTGACAGATTGATTCAGGACGATTGTCGTATCGCTCAGAGAGAAATTTCAAGCATAATCGCTTTCACAAGAACGTGTGGGTCACATTATTGCTTTGCTTGGCTATCGGAAGATCTGTGCACAGTGGGTACCCAGGATGCTGACGCCTGAAATGAAAGCGCACAGACTTGAAACTTCAGAGACTGGGTCTCACCACCATACAACATCCTCCATACAGTCCAGATTTAGCACCGTCTGACTTTCACCTGTTCCCGATAATGAAAGAAGATCTGTGGGGACATCATTATGCTTCTGATGAAGACGTTGAGAGAACTGTGAGACGCTGGTTGCGGAAACAGAGTGTCACTTCTTCCGTGACGGCTTCAGAAAACTTGTTCATTGTTGGCAGAAATGTATCCAATTGTCTGGTGATTATGTGGAAAAGTGAATAGTGGTAGTTAAAGAGCACATTCTAAGGATTATTTCTGCATTTGATTTATTAAAATATTCCTATCCAAACCCAAGTCACGAAGGTGGAGGCATTACTTTTCATTCAACCCTCTTATATACACAACAAATAACTAGTGGAGGCTTGAAGAAGGTTGCTATTTCCAACATGACATTCCTATGTGAGTTTTTCAATCCTGTTCTGCAGATCTTCCTTCTTTCTGATGTTGCCAATCGTTCTGAATGCAACATCTTCTTTGCTTCTGAAGCTAGGGAATCCAGAGTCTCAGCTACAGTGAAGAAACACTTCAAGAACCTGGCTTTTGCTTTGGGATTCCCTGTGGACAGGATCCGCTATGTGCCCCCAAATGGTAAGAGGAACTGGTACTGTGGGCTTTGATTTTACCTTTCCTGATGTAAACCAGAAACAGCCATGCCAGACATTTGAAAGTTTGTGCTGAAATCAAGGCTCTGTTCCACCCTCAAGGTCAAGGTTGGGAGAGACCTCGGCTCCTATCACAGCTTGGGCATGATGTGCTAGATAGAACATTTCCAAGACATGTAGTGCTGTTTTGGACTGACAAGGGTGTCGTCAAGTCTTATGCAAATGTCTTACTAATTTTATTGCTTCTTTATTTAAAAAAAATAGGAGAAAATATCAAAATAGATCAAAATCCCAAATCCACAAAAGTGTCAGAGTGAGACCCTGGGGTCTACACGCAGCGGAATTGAGCTTACTAGATCACACAGACGCAAAACAGGACACTGCAGTCTGCCAGTTTCAGAAATAACTTCAAGTTTACTTAGTACATCTCAATACACGTCTACTTCTCAGCGGGCTACATCATGAACTACAAAGCACAGCACAAAACAGTATTCAGAACATCTGCTTATCAGTTTCACTTTGGCTGTAAGCCGGCAACTCCCTAATTCTTCCCAGACAGAGAGAACTTGTTATCTTACTTCTGTCAAGGTCTTTTCTTCTCTGCCTCTCTGTCTCTTACAACAACAATTCCAGCATACAATTGAACATAACTGAATCCATCTTGAATACATATGAACACCATTGTTAATCATATTGAAACACATTGAAAAAACATACATGCATACTTTCAATAATCCTGACAAAAAGGACAAGACAAAAATTATGGACCAATTGCATGCAAAAACCTGTTCGGCTAACACAGAACCAATCATTGGCCAACCAAAAGGCACAAAGCATATCTTGTATGTTCTCCTCTTCTATCCCATTTCTTGTTAAACTGATACAACCCAGGTTCGGATTCCAGATTATCTTCTTATCCTGGATTATGTGGTGGTATAGACTCATATAATCCAGTTCAAAGCAGATAATCTAGTATCAGATCCTGGGATAGAGGCCAGTGTAGATCCAGCCTGATAATTCTCAGAGGCTGGATCTACATTGCCCTATATCCCAGGATCTGATCTCTGATTATTTTATTTATTTTAATTTTTTTACAGTATTTATATTCCACCCTTCTCACCCTGCAGGGGACTCGGGGGATTACAATGCACATATGCATGGCAAACATTTGATGCCATTAGACATACAACATATATAGACAGACACAGAGGCAATTTAATATTCCGTCTTTCCAGCTTCATGAGGGTATGCTCGATTCCAGCCACAGGGGGAGCTGTGCTTCACCGTCCACTTGTGACACCAAGTCCTTGATGGAGTTCTTCCTCATTCTTACACATGCTGCTGGAAGGTTTTACGGTGTCGTAAATTAGTTAAATTACCCTCCCCGCATAAAGTGGTACCTAAATTTCCTACTTGACAGATGCAACTGTCTTTCGGGCTGCATAGGTCAACAGCAAGCTAGACTATTAATGGTTGAGAGCTTACTCTGACCTGGGCTGGCTTTGAACTCATGACCTCTCAGTCAGTAGTGATGTAATGCAGCTGGCTACTAACTAGCTGTGCCACAATTATCTACTTATCCCAGATTATGTGGCAGTGTAGACTCATATAATCCAGTTCAAAGCAGATAATTTGAGATCAGATCCTGGGATATATGGCAGTGTAGATCCAGCCAGAGACATACCTCTTTTTCTGAGCACATGGCAAGTTTCTGAGTCCTCCATTTTTGTTCTTCTTTTCTTCTTCTCCAGTGAACATGGAGAGACAAGGTGTCTGCTGTGAGATAGATAGATAGATAGATAGATAGATAGATAGATAGATAGAGTCCCCCTAGGGGTGAGAAAAGCAGTATATAAATACTGTAAAATAAATACTGTAAAATAAATAAATAAATACTTCTCCCTCTGGTTATGTTGTTCTTTGAATAAAGTATTTTGTAACTTTTAAGCTAGACTCCGTTCCTGAATTGCTGAAGATCAATGGCTCTACTGCTGGCACAAGAAGCTTCTGATCTGCTAAACTGCTGCTCATGCTGATGTTGCTGCTTTGCTTTTTGAATGCTTTTTCTCCTTTTTAGAAATTACCTCCAACATAAATTACTTTTGAAAACAGAGAAAACAGTCCTTGAAGGGCAGATCCCGGTGGAAAAGGTTGGCAACCTCACCATGCACACGGAAAGAGGTTTTTCCTGTAATAATTATCTCTCTTTTCTTTCACAGAGTCATGCTCATAGTCTTTATCAAAGAAGCCCAGCCAGGTAAATCTGAAGAACTGTGGAAGAGAACATCTGGAGAAGGGGAGATCTTCATAGAACCCATGTTTACTATGCAGCTAATAAAGCCAAGCTGTCATGATTGGCAGTCCTGCTGCGTCCTCTAGTTGGTATTATCATGTGCATTTGGGTCAAATCCTACCTATATCGACCTCCTTTTTGGGTTTTCCTGGCAAGATTTATTATTCAGAAGAGGTTTGCCCACATTGTCTTCCTCTGAGGTGGAAAGTGTGTGAATTCCCCAAGATCCCTCCATAGGTTTCCATGGCAGAGTCGGGATTCAAACCTTGGTCTTGAGTCCTAGTGCAACACTTAGACCAGGACACCACTCTGGCTCGCTCCTGTTGCATCAGTCCGCAAAATCTCAATGCCCAATTTCCACATTGTCTATGAAGCAAACAAAGCTGTAGCATAGAACCATAGGATTCTTGTGTTGGAAGAGACCTTAGGGGCCATCCAGTCCAATCCCATTCTGCCAAGGAGCAGGAATATTGCATTCAAATCACCCCTGACAGATGGCCATCCAGCCTCTGTTTACAAGCTTCCAAAGAAGGAGCCTCCACCACACTCCGGGGCAGAGAGTTCCACTGCTGAACGGCTCACACAGTCAGGAAGTTCTTCCTCATGTTCAGATGGAATCTCCTTTCTTGTAGTTTGAAGCCATTGTTCCACGTCCTAGTCTCCAGGAAGCAGAAAACAAGCTTGCTCCCTCCTCCCTTTGACTTCCTCTCACATATTTATACATGGCTATCATGTTAGGGAGGGTGATAGGGAGTGTGTTAGATCTCCCTCCTCATCACAACAGTCTAAAATATTCTCCTTTTTTCAGTGATTACAGAAAGAGATTTTACAGCCTAATTATTTGGTATAGATGCTGATGAACACTCCTATGGGTTACTATGAGTCTACCAATGAATGAAAAAGTATGGTAGCACAGGTATTATTAGTTTTATTCACTGGGATTCAAGGTGGCTGCAGTGTATTAAAGAAGAGGAAGAATTCCTCCTTCCGTTGCTCTGCCTGGCTCTTCCTGGGGCTCTTTACATCTTCAAGGAAGGCAATCCCTGGTCAAAGTGGTCCCTGGCAAAAGTGATCCCTGGTCAAGTGGTCCCTGGTCAAAGTGATCCCTGGTCAAAGTGGTCCCTGATCAAGTGGTCCCTGGTCAAAGTGGTCCCTAGTCAAAGTGGTCCCTGGACAAAATAGTTAATAATCAAAGTCGTCTCTGGTCAAGCGGTCCCTGGTAAAAGTGGTCCCTGGTCAAAGTGGTCCCTGGTCAAAGTGGACCCTGCTCAAAATGGTCCCTGGTCAAAGTGGGCCCTGGTCAAAGTGGACCCTGGTCAAAGTGGGCCCTGGTCAAAGTGGACCCTGGTCAAAGTGGGCCCTGGTCAAAGTGGTCCCTGGTCAAAGTGGACCCTGGTCAAAGTGGTCCCTGGTCAAAGTGGTCCCTGGTCAAAGTGGTCCCTGGTCAAAGTGGATCCTGATCAAAGTGGTCCCTGGTCAAAGTGGTCCCTGGTCAAGTGGTCCCTGGTCAAAGTGGTCCCTGGTCAAAGTTCCCTAGTCAAGTAGTCCCTGGTCAAGAGGTCCTGGTCAAAGTGGTCTCTGGTCAAAGTGGTCCTGGTCAAAGTGGTCCCTGGTCAAAGTGGCCCCTGGTCAAAGGGGTCCTGGTCAAAGTGTCCCTGGTCAAAGGGGTCCCTGGCCAAAATGGTCCTGGTCAAAGTGGTCCCTGGTCAAAGTGGTCCCCTTTCAAATGGCCCTGGACAAAATAGTTCCTGATCAAAGTGGTTCCTGGTCAAAGTGGACCCTCCTCAAAATGGTCCCTGGCCAAGTGGTCCCTAGTCAAAGTGATCCCTGGTCAAAGTGGTGCCTGGTCAAAGTGGCCCCTGGTCTAAGTAGTCTCTGGTCAAAGTGGTTCCTGGTCAAAGTGGTCCCTGTTCAAAGTGGTCCCTGGTCAAAGTGGTCTCTGGTCAAAGTGGCCCCTGGTCAAAATGGTTCCTGGTCAAAGTGGTCCCTGTTCTAAGTGGCCCCTGGTCAAAGTGGTCTCTGGTCAAAAACAGGTTGGGAACACTATGTTAGACTGATATAGCTGTTTATCTCTTTGAACTGTTAGGAATAAATACATGCCATTGCATAAAATGGAGCCCCCGGTGGCGCAGTGGGTTAAACCCCTGTGCCGGCAGGACTGGAGACCGACAGGTCGCAGGTTCGATAGAGGTGGATGAGCTCCCTCTATCAGCTCCAGCTCCTCATGCGGGGACATGAGAGAAGCCTCCCACAAGGATGATAAAAACATCAAATCATCCAGGTGTCCCCTGGGCAACATCCTTGCAGACGGCCAATTCGCTCACACCAGGAGTCACTCCTGACACGACAAAAACAAAATTGCATAAAATATATAGCATACCTTCAGAAGTGTTATTTCGGTTGCCCAAAAATATACCATCAACTCTCCCATAAAATATATTGGTTTTTAAATCATGCTCTCAAGAGACCAAAAAATCTGTAGTCTTTGTTAAAAGTTAACATAGTTGATTTACTTATAAACTTCATATATTCAGCATACAGGTACATTGATTATTGGTTTTATGTTAACTAAATAATACTTAGAATTGTACTATACTTCAACTGACTGTCCTATACATCTGCTGCAATCAGACCCATCCAGTAACTGACATCTCACTGCAGCATACTGACTATACTCCTGCCCTAAATGGCATCAATAGACTCATCTGACTTCCAGCTGACTCAAATCTCAACTGACTTCTGACTTAATTGACTCCAACTGGAGTCTCACTCTAATAATAGGGTCATAGGGTCTGCAGTCCCTTCCAAGGGGAGCCCCCTTTGCTTCCCCCCAGGATGAGGTCAGAAGATGCGTCACTCTTCTCCTCCCCCTTGTTTAGCATTCCCATTGCCTTCTCTAGGAAGCTTGGAGGACCAAGAAGGGTTCCCCACTCCCTCTTTTCCTCCTTCCTTCCTTCCTTCCTTCCTTCCTTCCTTCCTTCCTTCCTTCCTCCTTCCTTCCTTCCTTCCTTCCTTCCTTCCTTCCTTCCTTTTCCTTCCTTCCTGCCAAACTGTCATTTGGAAGAAGGCCCTCAGGTGCTTTGGGGGACTGGGGCTGGGAAGGTGGGCTGGGTGCCCTTTGGGCTTCTCCCTCTTGCTTGGCTTCCCTTGCTGTCCTCCAAGTGGTCCTGAAATCCCATTTGGGAAAGGTGCCAATCTCTGCAAATCCCCCTCTTGCCTGGGGAGGGAGAGCTCTCTATTTTGGGTTCATGCCTGGAAGGGGGGGGGGTCTCCTGGAGGGAGGGAGGGAGTCTGAGTATGTGTATGTGTGTAAGGAGGGGTGTTGTTGTGGTGGAACCAAGGAAGCCCCCCTGGTCTCTCTTTTCCCCTCTCCCTAGGCCTCCCTTGCTTGCTTTGGGGTCTCCGATATGTGGGGAAGGGGGCTTCCAAGGGGGAGAATGTCCTATAAGAGAGGGGGGTATAAGAGAGAGGGGGTCAGGGGACAGTTCCACCTTGTCTCCTGTGCTATGCTTTATTTATTTATCTATCGTGTCAGGAGCAAACCAAACAGTTGTATTGCATTTTTAAACAAACAAACAGACAAAACACAGAATTTACAAGCTTGGTAGTTGATTAAATGTCCTTTGACCAGTATCTGGCCACTTGGAGTGCCTCTGGTGTTGCTGCAAGAAGGTCCTCCATTGTGCATGTGGCAGGGCTCAGGTTGCATTGCAGCAGGTGGTCAGTGGTTTGCTCTTCTCCACACGCGCATGTCGTGGATTCCACTTTGTAGCCCCATTTCTGAAGGTTGGCTCTGCATCTCGTGGTGCCAGAGCGCAGTCTGTTCAGCGCCTTCCAAGTCGCCCAGTCTTCTGTGTGCCCAGGGGGAGTCTCTCTTTGGTATCAGCCATTGGTTGAGGTTCTGGGTTTGAGCCTGCCACTTTTGGACTCTCGCTTGCTGAGGTGTTCCAGCGAGTGTCTCTGTAGATCTTAGAAAACTATTTCTTGATTTAAGTCGTTGGCATGCTGGCTGATACCCAAACAGGGATGAGCTGGAGATGTCTCTGCCTTGGTCCTTTCACTATTGGCTGCTACTTCCCAGCGGATGTCAGGTGGTGCAATACCGGCTAAACAGTGTAATTTCTCTAGTGGTGTAGGGCGCTGACACCTCGTGATAATGCGGCATGTCTCATTAAGAGCCACATCCTCTGTTTTAGCGTGGTGAGATGTGTTCCACACTGGGCATGCATACTCAGCAGCAGAGTAGCACAGCGCAAGGGCAGATGTCTTCACTGTGTCTGGTTGTGATCCCCAGGTTGTGCCAGTCAGCTTTCGTATGATATTGTTCCTAGCGCCCACTTTTTGCTTGATGTTCAGGCAGTGCTTCTTGTAGGTCAGAGCACGGTCCAGAGTGACTCCCAGGTATTTGGGTGCGCTGCAATGCTCCAGTGGGATTCCTTCCCAGGTCATCCTCAGAGCCCGGGATGCTTGTCTGTTCTTAAGGTGTGCTATGCTAATAATATAATATAATATGTAATATATTGTATATACATATATTTATAATATTATAATGTAATGCAATAAAATACTACTAATAATATGATATTATAATTATATATTTATATTACATATAATATTACTAATAATATTACATTATAATAGTATACTACAATATAGTAATATTTAATTCCTACCTCATCCAGGTAGGAATTACCTGGGTGATTACCACCCAACTTTTTAATATTTTTATATAATATAATATAATGTAATGTAATATAATACATATAATATTTATAATATTATAATGTAATTCAATATAATACTACCAATAATATGATATTATAATTATATATTTATATTACATATAATATTACTAACAATATTACAATATAATGGTATAGTACAATATAGTAATATTCCTTATCTCATATATCTGGCCCGTCCTTTGTGTTTGATTCTACTATGCTATTTTATACTACTTATTTTATTTGTTGTTTTATATATTTTTGTTATGATTTATTTTTGCTGTTTTGTGTCTAATTATGTTGTATTATTTTTGGGCCTGGCCTCATGTTAGCTGCCCCGAGTCCCCTTTGGGGAGATGGTGGTGGGTTATAAATAAAGATTATTATTATTATTATTATTATTATTATTATTATTATTATTATTATTTATTAATACTGATATTGTACTATGCTAATAACATAATATATTGCATGTATATATATCTGGTAATCCGCTTTGAGTCCCCTTCGTCATCTTAGCTGCCCCAAGTCCTCTTTGGGGAGATGGTAGCGGGTTATAAATAAAGTTATTATTATTATTATTATTATTATTATTATTATTATTATTATTATTTAATACAGATATTGTACTATGCAAATAACATAATATATTGTATGTATATATATCTGGTAATCCGCTTCGGGGTGAGAAGGGCAGCATATAAATGTCATAAATAAATAAACAAACAAATAAATATTTGAAAGTATTTGGAGCCAGGAGGCCAGAGAAACTGTTTACAAGTGGGGGAGATGGAAGAAGGCCACCACCGAAAAGGGCCCCTCTCTCGTTCCCACCAACTGTACTTGCGATGGAGGTGGGACTGAGAGGAGGGCCTCTGCTGGTGATCTCGAGGCTCGTGTGGACTGATCATAACTCTTCCAGGAGTGGATTTCCCTTCCTTCCGAGGGGGAGATTTCTCTCACTTCCTGTTATCTCAGCCTTCTTCTTAACTAGGAGTCATTTGTAAGTCAGATATTTGTAACTTGGGGGTATCCTGTCTGTATATGTAGATAGATAGATAGATAGATAGATAGATAGATAGATAGATAGATGGATGTGTGGGTGAGAGACAGACGCCTGGTGGGGACGAGAGACAGGGTCTTCTCAGTAGTGGCCCCTCGGCTGTGGAACGCCCTTCCTACAGACATTAGATCGGCCCCCTCCTTATTGGTATTCAGGAAGAGAGTGAAGACCTGGCTCTTCTAACAGGCTTTCAACTAAGCAGTACAATTGATTGATTACTGGAATATGGATTAATGGACAACGAGATCGGATGCTGACTCTATTGATGAGACGTGATGGATTGTTGTTTTCCTGTATTGTTGTATTGATGTTCTGATGTTAATTAATTGATATTACTGTTCTAAATGATTAATGATTTTGTACTGTGTTGTTGATATTGGTTGTTAACCGCTCTGAGTCGCCTGATGGCTGAGAAGAGTGGTATACAAGTGAAGTAAATAAATAAATAAATAAATAAATAAAGAAGGGAGAGAGAAATTGAGATGCAAAAAATCTGGGGAATTGTATTGTCGAATTCTTTCATAGCCGGAATCACTGGATACTTGGGAAGGGTCCGATGTGTGATCCAATACAACAGCCAGCAGAGTGATCTTGTCTGCTGTGGACTCATCTTGTGGTGTTTCAAATAATAATAATAATAATAATAATAATAATAATAATAATAATAATAGACATGGAGAGCCCAACTGTGCTTTTCTTAGATATGATCTACACTTAGATGTCCTTAACCTCACATGAATCTCTTTTTAACAACTCTTTCTTGTCCCCATTTTTAGGTCACCAACCCCATGGATGCCCTCTGAACTTCTCTGAACAACAGCTGTTGGGTAGGTTAAGAGGGCTGACTTGGCCACGGTAGTACACGCTTTGGTTACATCCCGCTTAGATTACTGCAACGCTCTCTACGTGGGGTTGCCTTTGAAGACTGCCCGGAAGCTGCAGCAAGTCCACAACACGCGGCAGCCAGATTACTAACGGGGGCTGGGTACAGGGAGCACACCACTCCGCTGTTACACCAGCTCCACTGGCTGCCAATTAGCTTCCGAGCACAATTCAAAGTGCTGGTGTTGACCTATAAAGCCCTAAACGACTCCGGCCCTGTTTACCTCTCCGAACGTATTCTCCCCTATGAACCATCTAGGTTGTTAAGATCGTCTGGAGGGGCCCTGCTCTCGGTCCCACCGGCCTCGCAAGCGCGTCTGGTGGGGACGAGGGACAGGGCCTTCTCGGTGGTGGCCCCACGACTCTGGAACTCTCTCCCTCTGGAGGCCAGAACCGCCCCATCCATCCTAACATTTAGGAAACGGGTGAAGACGTGGCTGTGGAGTCAGGCCTTCGAGGAATGAGACAACACCATAGGACCTGGATGGAAGTTGATGTAGATCCATCTTAATAGGACGACTGACCACAGTAGTTTTAGACATAGTGTTATTTTAAAGTTTTTGTAATTGTGATATATGATATTTTAATGAATGTATATGTTTTTATGTCTGTAAACCGGGCTGAGTCCCTCAACGAGGTTGAGAAGCTCGGTATACAAAACTGTGAAATAATAATAAATAAATATTACACGAATGCAACCCCACCTCGCAATATTGCCTGCATTTTTATGTTAGATATATTTCTCTGACTTTTCCCCTTCCATCTGAGTCTGCTTGGGTTTTAACCATTTACATTTGGTGGAGACACAGGAGAGGCCTCCCCAATGGCGATGGGATAATTTCCCCAATGGGATGAGATTGGCTCCCTCCCTGTTTTCCCCTCTGCCTTTTCATTCCGAAGAGCCTAAAGAGATGCTGGGCATTGAATGTTCAGTGTATTTATTAGGATAGTGTTTAAAGAGCTTTAATGAGTGTATTATTATTATTATTATTATTATTATTATTATTATGCTGTCGCACGCTGGGCCTGTGCATAAGACTGTAGACAGGACATAAATTCTGTGTGCCCAACGGGACGCCGGGGCTGCCTCAGATTAAAGGCCTTTGGATTTCCTTAAAACAGAGTCTTTAGATTGCTTAAAGGTTCAACAAAGTTCTTTATTATTGAAATCAAACAGGTACTTCAAGGCTTTCTTAATAGTCTATTGGCTCTCTCAATCTTGTCCACAGGGAACAGGCACTATCTTCATAACTGTAATTTTAACTAATGGGGAAATCCTTAACTTCTAATCTGGGCAGTCTGTCTTTGCCTCTGTTGGCGTGGAGCCCCTGCACCCGGTACCAACTCTTCTGGCTTCCGCGAGTGACCCTTACCAAGCAGAGCTTTGTAGACTTCCAGGAGAAAAAGAAGGAGTTCAGGTTTTGGCGATGGCTGGCTGAAGTGCTGTGGGACTGGATTCCCTCAGCAAAGGAGCTGTAAGGCTGTAAAATCCTCGGCCAAGCTATGGGGCCTTTTCTCCCCGGCCAAGCTGTAAGGCTGTATATCTCCCACCCAAACCGTAGAAGACGAAGCTTTCTACAGGAGCTCCTGGTTTTATGTCCTGCATGAAAGGCTTCTCTGTGTAGACTGGCCCAAAATGGCTCCTATTCCCTCCAAAACCCAAAAAGGGGGCGGGACCAGGGAACCTAACTATAATTGACAGGTGGCTTGCCCTATGATTGCAGCCAAAAGAAGCCACCTATCTGCAGAGTCCCTGAAACTTAGGACTACAACAAACATTCAATGCAAAGCAAACAAAATTGGAGCTCCTGGTACAGCTGTACCTGCATTATTATTATTATTATTATTATTATTATTATTATTATTATTATTATTATTATTTGAAACACAACAAGATGAGTCCACAGCAAACAAGATCACTCTGCTGGCTGTTGTATTGGATCACACGTTGGACACTTCCCAAGTGTCTAGGACTGTGTGATGTATTGGCAAATAATGCATGCAGATCCCAGTAAGGTGGCCTTTTGCAGCTGGCAGATGGTAATTTTGTCAGTGCCGATTGCTTTTAAGTGCAGGCCAAGGTCTTTAGGCACTGCACCCAGTGTGCAGATCACCACTGGGACCCCCTTGACTGGCTTGTGCCAGAGTCTTTGCAGTCCGATATTTAAATCCTCATATTGTGTCAGCTTTTCCAGTTGTTACTCTTCAATCCTGCTGTCACCTGGGATTGCGACACCGACGATCCATACTTTGTTTTTTAACACGATTGTGAGGTCAGGAGTATTATGTTCCAAAACTCTGTCTGTCTGAATCCGGAAATCCCAGAGGAGTTTGGCATGTTCATTTTCCGTAACTTTTTCCGGCTTTGTTGCAGGCAGATGGTTCTTTGTTGCAGGCAGATGGTTTTTGTAGTACAAGTTCGAATGAATCATCTTTGCAGCGGTGTTGTGCCTCTGCTTGTAGTCTGTCTGCGCGATTTTCTTGCAGCAGCTGAGGATGGGATCTATTGTTTCATTTGCTTCTTTGCAGAGTCTACATTTGGGATTATTATTGTTATTATTGTTGTTGTTATTATTATTATTATTATCATCGTTACCATAATTATCCTTATTTGGTAGTATGGATGGGGCCTGAAAACATAGTGGGATAGACAAAAGAGCAATTCCTGAAGGTTTTCGAACACTGAAAGGGGATATACACTGAAGAGTACTCTATTCTAGTCATGGACTGTAATAAAGTCTTGATTGATATTTATTTGGAAGTAGCCGCCCCCTGCTACGCATTGCTGTGGCCCTGTCTGGTGATCTGGAAAATAAAGTATTGAGAAAGTTGGTTTCTAATATATGTGATTTCCTTATGCTTGTGGGTAAACAGTATTTCTTGCTGTATCTTTGTCAGTGTTGATGTGGAGATTCTCTGGTTTGCCTACTATGCAACATATCATTGTCCTTCTTTAAGAGTCCCTTTCAAATCTATGATACTATATCTCTCTGTGTGTGAATCATATCTATCTATCTATCTATCTATCTATTTATCTATATCTATGGTTGGATGGCTCTTTGTCAGGAGGGCTTTGATTAAGTTTTCTTGCCCTGATGAAGGCAGTTGGACTAGGTGGCCTTAAGTATTTTCTGATGGTCATACATAGGGGTTCTGTATGGGAAGTTTGACTCAATTCTGTCATTGGTGGGGTTCAGAATGCTCTTTGATTGTAGGTGAACTATAAATCTCAGTAACTATAACTCCCAAATGTCAAGGTTTTTTCACCAAACTCCATTTGTGTTCATATTTGGGCATATGGAATATTTGTGCCAAGTTTGGTCCAGATCCATCATTGTCTGAGTCCGAAGTGCTCTCTGGATGCAGGTGAACTACAACTCCCAAACTCAAGGTCATAGAATCATAGAATCAAAGAGTTGAAAGAGACCTCATGGGCCATCCAGTCCAACCCCATTCTGCCAAGAAGCAGGAATATTGCATTTAAATCACCCCTGACAGATGGCCATCCAGCCTCTGTTTAGAAGCTTCCAAAGAATTAGCCTCCACCACAGAGAGTTCCACTGCTGAACGGCTCTCACAGTCAGGAAGTTCTTCCTCATGTTCAGATGGAATCTCCTTTCTTGTAGTTTGAAGCCATTGTTCAATGCCCACCAAACCCTTCTAGTGTTTTCTGTGGGTTATGGGAGTCCTGTGTGGACTCCCACATTTGGTTCATTTCCATCATTGGTGGAGTTCAGAGTGCTCTTTGATTGTAGGTGAACTATAAATTCCAGCAACTACAACTCTCAAATGACAAAATCAATTATTTTTAGTGATGGTCACTCCTTGAGTTAGTAGGTGTCTTGTGGCCAAATTTGGCGGCAATTCGCCAAGTGGTTTTTGGGTTATGTTAAGCCCACAAACGAACATTACATTTTTATTTATATAGATCACAGAATCTCAGAAGCAATGCTATTTCCCCTTTCAGATGCTGCTCTACTTTGAGGAGATATCTATGTAATTTCCCCAAGAAGGAGTGAAGTTTCTTGGATCCAGGCCCAATGGCTCTCTACACACAAGTCAAGGTGGAGGAGGATGAGAAGGTGGCCATCCTGGGTAAGTTTTGTTGGGCAGATACTGAAGGAATGAATTCATTCCTTCTCTTAGAATGCCTGTCAGGAAATGGGATGCCAGCCCAGGATTACACACTCTGCCCCGGAGTGCGGTGGAGGCTCCTTCTTTGGAAGCTTTTAAAGAGAGGCTGGATGGCTATCTGTCAGGGGTGATTTGAATGCAATATTCCTGCTTCTTGGCAGAATGGGGTTGGACTGGATGGCCCACGAGGTCTCTTCTAACTCTATGATTCATGCCTGTTCAATCCCCAAAAGTTCAAATATTTGTTTTGTGGTGTGCCTGAGAATTTTAATCTGTTTTGCTTTGAAGATGGTGTCTTGTATAATCAAAACATTTACTCTCAGCAGACACCAGAGCTACCGCATTTCAAAACTAAATGTATTCACTTTTAATAGCTTTTAAAAAATTCTCGTAAACCATCTCGAGGAAGGAATTTGCCCCTTTTCTCAAAAGCAGCTGCATTATTGCTTAATTACATTTCAGAGTCTGAATAGAAAAGTTAGCTCACAATGGGTTGCTATGAGTTTATTGGGCTGTGTGGCCATGTTCCAGAAGCATTCTTTCCTGACGTTTCACCCATATCTATGACAGGCATCCTCAGAGGTCGTGAGGCCTGTTGGGTGGTATATAAACCTTCCAACAAGCTTTCGATGGTTGAATAATAGGCTTGGGCGATCAAGAAAAAAATTGGTTCTAAACTCGTTTCGTTTCTAGGGTGCGCTAGCGTTTTGAAATTTAATAATTCCGAAATTTTCCTTTTAAAAATTTTGAAATATACAAAATTTTGTATAATTACGAATCGATTCGTTAATGGCGGACGCGATTGCGCAATATGCTAACAAAAACCTCCAAATGGGACAGGGGGAACTTCTGAAGCTTCCCTCTCCCTCTGTTGTTGACTGTTGGTGTGATAAACCAAACAACAATAAATTATATTTATATATATATATATATTATATTATATTATTATAATATTATTTATATTATATATTATATATTATTTTATTATATTATTGTATATTATATTATATTACTTTATATTATAATATATTATATTATAATATATTATATATATTATATTATATTATACAATTATAATATAATATAATAATATAGTAATAAAATATATAATATAATATAATAATATATACAATACTATAATATAATAGTATTATAATAATCACAATATATCTATATATATAAATTTGTTAGGGGCATCCAACGGAGAAACAAAACTCAAAACCCGCCCCAACAAAACTTAACCAAAATTCCCATGTCCATAACACAACCCACAAGGTACAAACATATCTACTCAAAATGAAAAACAACACAACAACACACTCACAAAACGGCAAAACAACAAAACTCAAAAAAACCCCAACGAAACTTAACCAAAATTCCCATGCCCATAACACAACCCACAAAGTACAAACATATCTACTCAAAATGAAAAACAACACAACAACACACTCACAAAACGGCAAAACAACAAAACTCAAAAAAAACCCCAACGAAACTTAACCAAAATTCCCATGCCCATAACACAACCCACAAGGTACAAACATATCTACTCAAAATGAAAAACAACACAACAACACACTCACAAAACGGCAAAACAACTGAGCATGCGCATTGGCGCCCAGCCGCAAGTTCCCTGGCGCGCGCACATGCCCTTCCGGCCAACGTTCCCTCTGCGGAAACCATGCCCACTCCAAGCCCCACCGCGCTGCTTCCCGCACACACACAAACCCCTGCCGCACATACACACACAACCCCACACTCCATCACTCCCCCCGCCGCCGCACACACACACAACCCCACGCTCCATCCCTCCCCCGCCGCCGCACACACACACGCAACCCCACGCTCCATCACTCCCCCCGCCGCCGCACACACACACAACCCCACGCTCCATCACTCCCCCGCCGCCGCACACACACACGCAACCCCACGCTCCATCATTCCCCCCGCCGCCGCACGCACACACGCAACCCCACTCCCCCCGCTGCCACACACACACACGCAACCCCACGCTCCATCACCCCCCCGCCGCACACACACACGCAACCCCACGCTCCATCACTCCCCCGCCGCCGCACACACACACGCAACCCCACTCCCCCGCCGCCCCACACACACTTGCAACCCCACGCTCCATCACTCCCCCCCGCCGCCGCACACACACACACAACCCCACGCTCCATCACTCCCCCCCCCCGCCCCCCCCCCCCCCCCACACACACACACGCAACCCCACTCCCCCACCGCCGCACACACACACGCAACCCCAGCTCCATCACTCCCCCGCCGCCACACACACGCAACCCCACTCCCCCCCCCGCACACACACACGCAACCCCTCTCCCCCGCCGCCGCACACACACCCAACCCCACGCTCCATCACTCCCCCCGCCGCCGCACACACACACGCAACCCCACGCTCCATCACTCCCTCTGCCGCCACACACACGCAACCCCACTCCCCCCGCCGCCGCACACACACACGCAACCCCAGGCTCCATCATTCCCCCCGCCGCTGCACACACATAATAGTCCAGATATCTACCTCAACTTTGATAAGTTTTACTATAGGCCACAGCAACGCGTGGCAGGGCACAGCTAGTGTATTATATTATATTATATATTATATATTATATTATAGTATTGTATATTAGAGTGAGGCAAGAAGAAGCATGAGGAAAGAGGAGGGAAGCAGCAGAGCAAAGGGACCGGAAGTGGGGTAAATGCGAGATTGTAAAACTTGCACCAGACATATGAAAATAATTACGAAATAATTACGAAAATTGGAAAAATTGTTTCAATTCTTAATTACTCCTCACACTATTCCTGCATGGTTTGATATTGGATCGTAAGCTAATTTAAATATGAATTAATAACGAATTACGAAATTAACGAACTGGATCGCCCAAGCCTACTCACAACCTCTGACGATGCCTGCCACAGATGTGGGTGAAACATCAGGAGAGAATGCTTCTGGAACATGGCCATACAGCCCAGAAAACTCACATCAATCCAGTGATTTGACAACACATTACCTCACAATATCAGCATGCAGAATTCCCAAGTTTTTTTTCCTAATGTGACTTTTCTCTTTCTCCTCAAGCAGATGCTAAGGAGGATAGCGAGGCCTATCAGGAGACAGCTTTAACGTCAACAAATATAACCAAGCCAGTCATGAAAAAAGACGAAAATGGAAATCAAAGGGGACAAAAAAGACAGAGAAGACGGCAACAAAGGAAAAACAACTCCTTTGCTTCTCTGGACCCTGATTTTCCCAAATCCCTGGACTTACATTCGAAACAATGTCCAGTCTGTGGGAAGAAATGGAAATATAAATCGCACTTCAAGATACACTTGAGAGTTCATACAGGGGAGAAGCCGTACCAGTGCATGGAATGTGGGAAGACCTTCAGTCAGAGTGGACCATTTTATGCCCATCAGAAGAACCACCAAGGAGAGAATCCATACAGCTCCGTGGAATGGACAAAGAGCATCAGTGATGGTGACTCGGGTGCTGACCATCAAAAGACCCAAACAGAGGAGAGACCGTACCGATGCACAGAATGTGGAAAGGGTTTTAGTAGCAGTGGACATCTACATTCACATCAAATAACTCACACAGGAGAGAAACCATATACGTGTATGGAATGTGGGAAAAGCTTCGCTCGTAGTAATAGTTTACAAGCACACCTAAGAATTCATACAGGGGAGAAACCATATCAGTGCATTGAATGCGGAAACAGTTTTAGTCAGGCTGCACACCTACATTTACATGAAAGGACTCACACAGGGGAGAAGCCGTATACATGCATGGAATGTGGAAAGAGTTTCAGTGGAAGTGGACACCTCCGTTCACACGAAAGAATCCACACGGGAGAGAAACCCTATAAATGCATGGAGTGTGGAAAGAGTTTCAGTCAGAGTGGAAATTTGCGCGCACATCAAAGAACACATATAGAGGAGAAACCATATCAATGCATGGAATGTGGAATGAGTTTCAGCGCGAGTGGACATCTGTGTTCACATCAGAGAACACACACCGGGGAGAAACCATATAAATGCATGGAATGTGGAAAGAGTTTCAGTCAGAGTGGCAATCTGCGTTCACATCAAAGGACTCACGTAGAAGACAAACCATATAAATGCATAGAGTGTGGGAAGAGCTACAGCCAGGGGGGACATCTGCGATCACACCAAAGAAAACACACAGGGGAGAAGCCATATAAGTGCATGGAATGTGAAAAGAGCTTCAGTGATTATGGAACGTGTGCTAAACACCAAAGAGCGCACACAGGGGAGAAACCATACAAATGCATGGAATGTGGAAGGAGGTTCTCTCGTGGGGACAGTTTACGTTCACATCAACGCATCCACACAGGGGAAAAACCATACAACTGCTTGGAATGTGGAAAGAGCTTTGGTGATAATGCCTGTCTACAGTCGCATGTACGAACCCACACAGGAGAGAAGCCTTACAAATGTTTGGAGTGCGGAAGTAGTTTTAGTCAGAGTGGAAGCTTACGCTTGCATCAAAGAACTCATATAGAGGAGAGACCATATAAATGCACGGAGTGTGGAAAGGCCTTCTCTCGGAGTCAGTATTTACGGTTACATCAAAGAACCCACACAGGAGAGAGACCATATCAATGCCTAGAATGCGGGAAAAGCTTCAGTCAGAGTGCAACTCTCCATTCCCATCAAAAAATCCATACAGGGGAGAAACCGTATAAATGCGTGGAGTGTGGAAAGAGCTTCTCTCGTGGGGACAGTTTGCTATCACATCAAAGAATCCACACAGGGGAGAAGCCATATAAATGCCAGGAATGTGGAAAGGGTTTCAACCGAATGGATCATGTACGTTCACATCAAAAAACCCACAGGCAGGACAAAGGCTCAGTGAAATCAATGCAGACTACTTCTGTAGCACTCCCCTGATTAGTGTGCGGTGGAGTGGGTGGCTTGAGGAAGGTGAAGGGAGAACTGCTGACCACTATAGAGAATTAAAATATGGTACCTTCACACAGTAAGAGACATCACACTGGCAACGAATTTCCGCATAGTCAAAGCAATGGTATTCCCCGTAGTAACCTATGGATGTGAGAGCTGGACCATAAGGACCATGCTTTTGAACTGTAGTGCTGGAGGAAAATTCGGAGAGTGCCTTGGACCGCGAGAAGATCCAACCAGTCCATACTTCAGGAAATAAAACCTGACTGCTCACTGGAGGGAAGGCTATTAGTGTTGCCCTCCAGGACAGGAAAAGCCATCTGACTTTAAACACCACACTGTTGGATGGAAAACAATCCTTTTATTGAAGATAATTAAAAAGGAGTAAGGTAAAAAACACTTTAAAGAAATAGGAAATCCAATTAGGTAGGAAGATAAGCAGGAACAAAGTAGTCCAGGGTAATAGTCCAGCAAAATCCATAGAAGCAAAGTCAAAACTTCCCAAATAAAATGCAAGAAATCAGGAAACATGAATCCAAGGCATGAATATAGAAGCATAGAATCCAAGAATCAAAGCCATGAAACAAAGGCACTTAAAACATGAATTTTCCAAGCAAAGCTTCCATGGACAAGGATGAGATCTTGACTTGATTCCAAACGATGCTTCATCTGACTACATATCCTGTACTTGAGACTTTTATCTCCTCATTAGCTATGTCTCTAGCACTCAGAAACTGGTTTTGCTTTAGCTGAGAATTTCTTATCTCTTTCTCTTGGAGCCTGGCAGAACGCCGAAGCCACTGTTTGGATATCCTATTTTGACTGATCTTCTCCATCTATCTATTTGCTCATTAATTTCTACAGCTGGGCCGGTTGCTGAGCTGTTTTCATGTTCCCTATCATTGGAACTCTCTGGTAACAATTCAGAAAGCAAGCCATCATCCTCACACCCCCCAGGGACATTCTCATGGGAAACTACACTTTGAACAGGGATCTCCTGGTCATACTCTGCATCAATATCAGTGGCCAAACCACTGCTATCTTGAAACTCATCTTGCAACTCATTGACATCACTCCCCACATCCAAAGCACCCTGATCCTGAAACACAATCACAGGCTGAGCTCCAATACTTAGAGGCAAAGATGAAGTACTTTGGCCACATAATGAGAAGACTGGAAAGCTTAGATAAGACAATGATACTGGGGAAAATGGGAGAAAAAGGGGACTGGTCGGTGGATGGTACCCTTGAAGTGACTGGCTTGACTCTGAAGGAGCTGGGAGTGATGACGGCTGACAGGGAGCTCTGGCATGGGCTGGTCCATGAGGTCACAAAGAGTTGGAAGCGACTGAACGAATAAACAACACCTTCACTCCCAAATCAAGCTAATACATATATAAACTGGACATGGGAGTCACCATTGTTGCGATGACTTAGAATGGGAGGTAATGGGGCTGATTGTGAACACAATGGAGGATACCTATGGGTGAAGGTAGGAATAAAGTAGTAGTAGTAGTAGTAGTAGTAGTAGTAGTAGTAGCAGCAGCAGTTAGTAGTAATTTTATTTGTTACCCACCTCTCCTCATGGCTTGAGGCCAGTTAAGGTTTGTGTCTTATTAGAGATGTGGGGGAAAGACACTGTACCCAGTACTTTCCACCCTCCCAGTATTTAGTTTCCTTTGTGGTTTCTCTCCTGTGACATCCCAACACGTTTTGAAGTAACTAGCACTACTATTATTTATTTACATACAAAGGCACAAACACGCTGAAGCTGTGGCATGTAACCAGTGAGTTTGTATTCACTCAGTTATCTGAAGCCTATATGTATCTGCCTACTTAGGTATGACTTAGAGCAGTGGCTCTCAACCTGTGGGCCCCCAAGTGTTTTGACCCACAACTCCCAGAAATCTCAGCCAGTTTACCAGCTGTTAGGATTTCTGGGAGTTGGAGGCCAAAACATCTGGGGACCCACAGGTTGAGAACCACTGACTTAGGGGGTTGGACTGGATGGCCCATGGGGTCTCTTCCAACTCTATGATTCTATGACTTGTATTGAGAATAGATGCATACCACCCTGTTGCAACTTGATTCCAGTTTATCTTTAAACCCAATTCAAAGTACTGGTTATAGCTTATAAAGCCCTGAATGTCCCAGGCCAGGCTATTTTCAGATCATATCTCCTTGTATGAACTTGCCTAGGCCCTCAAGTCCTCAGGTGAGGCTCTCCTCTCGGTCTCACCACCATCACAAGCACGGCTGATTTTATTTATTTATCATGTCGAGCGAACCAAACAGTTGTATTGCATTAAAAAAAACCCAAAACCCCCACAAGGTTTGCAAACTTGGCATTCTATTAAATGTCCTTTGACCAGTAGTGGCCACTTGAGGTGCCTCTTGAGTTGCTATAAGAAGGTCCTCCCTTGTGCATGTGGCAGGGTTCAGGCTGCATTGCAGCAGGTGGTCTGTGGTTTGCTCTTCTCCACACTCGCATGTCGTGGACTACTCTTTGTGGCCCCATTTCTTAAGGTTGGCTCTGCATCTCGTGGTGCCAGAGCGCAGTCTGTTCAGCACCTTTCAAATTGCCCATCCTGTGCCAGCCACTGATTGAGGTTCTGGGTTTTAGCCTGCCACTTTTGGACTCCTGCTTGCTGAAGTGTTCCAGAGAGTGTCTCTGTAGATCTTAGAAAACTATTTCTAGATTTAAGGCATTGGCGTGCTGGCTGATACCCAAACAGGGGATGAGCTGGACATGTCTCTGCCTTGGTCCTTTCACTATTGGCTGCTACTTCCCAGCGGATGTCAGGTGGTGTAATTTCTAAGCAGTGTAATTTCTCCAGTGGTGTAGGGTGCAGACAGCCCGTGATAATGCGGCATGTCTCATTAAGAGCCACATCCACTGTTTTAGCGTGGTGAGATGTTTTCCACACTGGGCAGGCGTACTCAGCAGCAGAGTAGCATAGCGCAAGGGCAGATGTCTTCACTGTATCTGGTTGTGATCCCCAGGTTGTGCCTGGGGTTGCACAGTTGATGGGAATGTGAGATGATGCCCTTCTCAGTGTCTGCTCCAAAATCTGGAACTTCCTTCTTCCCAGGAAAACCAGAATGGTCCCGTCCTGGTGTCTTTCCAGTGGCAGACTGAGGGCACTTCCACACTGCAGTTAAATGCATGCTGAAGCAGATTTTAAAAAACCCATTTTGATGCGCATTTAAGTTTCTGTACCCCTCCCCCAAACCCAAGCTTTCCAGTGGGGTGTCTAGATGTCATTCTGGTAAATTTTTAGAAGTTTTTATGGCTTCTTTTGAAGACTTGGGAGGAGGGGTGGGCATAATCTTACACTTTTGGCTCCAGGAACCCAAAAGGTGTGAGATGGTTGAGGGGACTCACTCTTGGGTAGTCCCAGGACTACTTGCTAGGGAGTCCTCACAGGCCCAATACCCCATTAGACCCGGGCCTTTCAGGAAGGCCTGGATCTAATGAGGCATCTAAGTAATTTGGAAGCAAGCAGGTAAATCCTACTTTGTTCTGAATTAATTCACTTTTACTTGAGGTGTCGTTTGGACACCTCAGGTGAAAACCTCGTCAGGTTCCGCATTTTTGGGCCTGTCTGGAAGAACCCTGAGACCTTTAGGAAGACTACGGTATCAACAATTTTTTTTTGTCGTGTCAGGAGTGCCTCCTGGTATGAGAGAATTGGCCGTCTGCAAGGACGTTGCCCAGGGGACGCCTGGATGATTTTGATGTTTTTATCATCCTTGTGGGAGGCTTCTCTAATGTCCCCGCATGAGGAGCTGGAGCTGATAGAGGGAGCTCATCCGCCTCTCCCCGTATTCGAACCTGCGACCTGTCAGTCTTCAGTCCTGCCGGCACAGGAGTTTAACCCACTGCACCGGTATCAACAATAATATATACCGTTTAGGGCTTTAGCCTGTAAACGGTTCCAGCCCAGGCTACCTGTCCAAATGTATCATCCCCTATTAACCAGCACATAGGTTTTGTTTGATGTTTTATTATTTGCTTATGAGTTTTACTGTGTATTGTATGTTGTTGTTGTCGGCGGCCTCTGCCTTTGTAAGCCGCATCGAGTCCTTCGAGAGATTTTGCGGGGTATAAATAAAGTTAATAATAATAATAATAATAATAATAATAATAATAATAATAATAGATCTAGATCTTCTGGAGAGGCCCTGCACTCGGTTCTGCCCGTCTCCAAAGTGTGGTTGGCGGGGACGAGAGATAGGATCTTCTCAGTGGTGGCCCCTTGTTGTAGAACTCCCTCCCTAGCGACATCAGAGCAGCTCCCTCCCTATTAGCCTTTAGGAAAAGAGTCAAAACCTGGCTCTGTGAACATGCCTTTGGAAGCTAGGCAATGCAGTATTTTTGAATCGAAACCTTGTGCAGTTGACCTTGGAACTGACTTAGACCATGAACTTGGATGGCGTGTTTTCTTAGTTTTCAACTTTTAAAATCTCTTTTAACTCATGTTTAATATGTTACCATTTTTGAAACGTTTAGGTGATTGTGTTGAGGCTCGACGTTTTGCCATTGTAAGCTGCCTTGAGTTCCCTTGCCGGGGTAGAGAAGGTCCGGGGTACAAGTATGGCAAATCAATCAATCAATCAATCAATCAATCAATCAATCAATACTCTAAAGCTAAATAGGCCCCTGAGTATATACACTGTGTTCCAAATCACATAGACTCTTTAAGAGGGGGTGGGAAAAGACACAAAGTAGAATATGTGACCTGCCTGGATTAGAGCAGAACTCCACCTTGAACTGAGGAATTTGTTTGACATCCTTTCAATATGACCAATAATATTCAATTGTATTATTGTAATATTTTAATAGCTTTCTGTATGTTTCTACCTATGTGTGTATTACCTATTTCTATGGCTGAGTCAGTTTCTGAAATGATTCCACTAACATCTATTTCAATTAATCATTTTCTTTATCATAACCCGCTTCCTTCTGGGTTTCTGCCATGTCTGGAAGGGCCCTCATTTTCTAATGATTAAGTCTACCGCCATCCCTTACATTGTGGTCCTCTACTCATTTATCTCGAAGTAAACCCCAATATGTCTGTTGCTCATAAAGAACTTTGAGATTTGTGTGTGTGTGTTCTTGTATCATAAATAACAGCAGTCAGGTATTTACAAAACAAGCCTTGCAGATTGATGTATTGTCGAAGGCTTTCGTGGCTGGAATCACTGGGTTGTTGTGGGTTTTTCGAGCTATATGGCCATGTTCTAGAGCAGTGGTTCTCAACCTTCCTAGTGCCGCGACCCCTTAATACAATTCCTCATGTTGTGGTGACCCCCAACCATCACATTATTTTTGTTGCCACTTCATAACTGTAATTTTGCTACTGTTTATTCATAATGTAAATATCTGACAGCAGGATGATGTATTTTCATTCACTGGACCACATTTAGCACAAATACCCAATACACCCAAATTTTAGTACCGGAGGTGGTGGGGTGGGGTGATTTTCTCATTAGGAGTTG